GGCCCGGGAATGCAGTGGAGGATGGCCCAGGTCCTTGGGCCCTACACCTGCATGGGAGGCCAGGAGAAAGCATCTGGCTCCTGGCTTCGGATCGGTACAGCGCGCCGGCCGTAGTGGCCATTTGGGGAGTGAACCAACGGAAAAAGGAAGACCTTTCTCTCTCTCTCTCTCTCTCTCACTGTCTAACTCTCTCTCTCTCTCTCTCTCTCTCACACACACACACACACACACACACACACACATACACTCATTGAAACATAGAAATCTGAAAATCAAAGATAGAGGCCATCTGAGGTGCCATACCTAGTAGTTGTAGTAAGCTCTAAGATATATCTAGGGGCAGGCATTGTTGCAGGTGTTAAGATGCCACTTGGGGGATCTGGTGTTATGGTACAGTGGGTAAAGCCGCTGCTTCTGGCTCAGGCATCCCATATTGGGGCCCCCGTTTGAGTCCCAGCTGCTCCACCACCACCGCCAATCTGGCTCCCTTTGATGCACCTGACAAAGCAGTGGAAGATGGGAAAATGGCCAAGTATTTGAGCCTGTGCCACCCACATAGGGGACTGGGATGGAGTTAGTGGCTCTTGGCGCTAGATCTGGTTGTTACAGTCATATGGGAAATAAACCAGTACTTGTAAGATTCTCTCATCTCTTATCTCTTCTTCCTTCTCTCTCTCTCTCTCTTCCTCCCTTCCTCTCTCTCTGTGTCGTTCTGCCTTTCAAATAAATAAATCTTCCTAAAAAACAAAGATGCCACTTGGGGTGCCCATATCCCATATTGGAGTACCTGGATTTGAGTCCCAGTTCTACTTCCAATTCCAGCTTCCTATAAAGTACACACCCTGGGAGGCAGCAGATGATATAGTTCAAGTACTTGGGTTCCTGCCATCCACATGGGAGACCCGGATTAAGTGCGTGACTCCAAGCTTTGTTCTGACCGTGCCCTTGCTGTTGCAGGCATTTGAAGAAATGAACCAGCAGATGGGAAATCAGTCAATCTGTGTGTGTGTGTGTGTGTGTGTGTACACACTCATATTGCCTTTCAAATAAATAAAAATAACTTAAATATTTTAAAGAAGGATGTATCTAGATTTTACATTACAATTCCTCTGTCCTCTCCTGCCCAAAATTGGAGATTCTTGTTTTGTTTTCGTTTTTCTTAAAGATAATATAAACATTTAGAGATCTGCAAATTACAACTCGTATCCAAGTTTCACCTGATCTTGTACACTTTAAAAGGAAGACACGCTCCGTTTTTCATTTCTGTTTCTTTAGCATTAGTAGTTTGCCTGGTTTCAAAAAGACTTCATGGTGTCTGCATTAGATAAATGAGTATATACAGTTAAAACCAGTAGTTTTATGTTTCAGGCTACTGTTTCTGAGCTTTCTAGCACCCAAAGCAAAGGAGTAAATAGGATGGGGCTTATAGTTATATCTAATGAAAAAAAAAATGGAAGAACAGCAGTGTTGCTAAACAGATTTTCCTTCACACATAGGAAAATAACCACAGAGATCTTTCTGCAACCTTATTGAAAAATGGAAAAGTCTTAGCTTTAAGGGGAGCCCAATGTCTGGTTCTAGCTCTGCCTCTATTGGACTGTGTGGCCTTGCAACAGTGATTATTCTAATCTTCCCTAGCCTTAGTGTCCTCACGTTCAAAATGTCCTCCAAATATGGATTTGAGCTGTGTTACGTTTCCAACGTTAACCTGACCTAGTATTAAAAATTAATTGAAATTTTCAAAAAGAGAAATTAAAAGCAGGTAAAATATCCCCTCTCTGATGGGAAGGTTCTTGTTTTTCTCAAAAATTCAAATATACATTTTATGGTAAGAGAAGTGCCTATTTGTGGTACCAGACAATCATTTTCATCACAAAAACTCAACTACCACTGAGTTCTACTTGAACTTGTTATTTATATATCCCCATGTTGCAATAAAAACTTCTAGTAATTTATAAAAGCTTAAGTATGAGATTGTTAGCTGATAAAACTTCAGTGCTGTTTAATAAAACAGATCTCTAGTGTAACATAGATCTGATTAATGATCAGCATAAAATAGATGGAGGCCTGTTTTGATGGTCATGTCAAAAGTTTATGGGTGCATTACAATGTGTCATTGGAACTATCTGGGACCTCTTAGGTAGGGTTTAATATTTGAAACGTAGAGTCTCATACTGTATTTGCCTGGGGTACATCCATATGGGACTACCCTATTCCTGAATCTCTTTTATTAGAAGATCCTTTTGATATGGAAAATGAACCTTCTCCTACCCAATTCCACCCTAGAGCAGTGTGGTGAGGCCGCAGTGGATGTGCTTGGGAAAGTCCTTGGAGAATCTTCTTCCCACCTTCCTTCCTCTGTTCGCCTCCCTTCACCCTTTCAAGCCTCTGTTAAGGATGTCAGCTTCTACAGGAGCTTGCGTGAGACTTTATCTTCCTTCTTGAGTAGCTTGGTTTATCTTTAGTCAAATAGGAAAATTTATTTTTCTAATTTAGCATAATTCGTAGAGGGTCTCATAATCAGAAATATTCAAGTGTCACACAGTTAAGATAGATACAAAATTCTGCCTTATAAGGCAATAGGGGATGGTAGGGCCCTGGCCAACGAGAGGAGGGCAGGGTTTGCCTTAAAGGCAACAGATTAAAATAATTACCTGTAATCCCTCTCTGACCTAGAAAATGTTTTGGGGGTTCACAAAATCCACTAAGCCATGACTCCTGGCATGAAGCATAATTTAAACTCCAAAGTATTCTAGAGAAATTCTGTAGGAAAGTTTTTCTAAAATATTTGAATAAGTTTTGTGCCTTCCATTTAGTGGGTTTGGGCAATATAATTCAGAAATCCAACAAGTTTCAGAGTCCTTGCTTCATCCTGCACTATCACTATCGGTTGATTCTATGGGATACAAGTCTTTGCAATACATAAAGGCCCTCTCAAAGTAACCATTTTGAATAGACACTGTGTATCTGTTGTTTGTGTTAGCAAACAACCCTCTTTCAGCTTGCATTCTAATCCCATCACAAAGTTTGATAATAAAACCAATCATAGCTAATGAAATTGGTGATTCATTTTGTCTATTTCAATTATCTTTACACATTTTTGCTTAATATAACTATGTTCTCACTTCCCAAATCAAAAAAAAAAAAAAAAGAAAAGAAAACTTATCTTTCTAAGTCTGCTTTTTTGTGGTTTTTAGTGATCTAGAAAATGATATGGAAAAATATATTGTGGTAGCTATTATATTGCAATAAAATCCTGATATACTGTGAATCAATCCACAGGCTCCCCCTCCCCATAAAAAAAAAGAGGTACCCATTTGTAATCCCATTACTTTTCATTAGCTTTGTAGGTAATTTTATGTATTGAAATAAAACAATAATTAGAAATATTTTGGACATAATCCACCCATACAAAAAATGAAAAATGCTAATTTGAATGTATTGAATGTTGAATATATAGAGGATTGAGCATTTTGACATGTTTTAGCAAATACATTTCTTATGATTTGTGCATGTTGTTAAAACATTTTTACTGGATCCACATTTGATCATGAAACGGTATAGTATCTTAATCACAACTTTCAGAAAGGGTGGCAGTTACTAATCTTCCAATTGCAATCTGTTCAAAACCAGTTTTCCAAGAGGAAACCACAGACAGTAGTAGAAGAGGAACTTTGTGCCAGTGAGTCTGCTCTGCGGGTAGCTGCTGGGGAGTTGGTAGTGAGTGTATCTCCATGGCACCTTTCCCCAGTAAGTGTCATGGGAAGGAGTTGACGGAGCTAGATAAGAGATAGCGTCTGGGGAAGGATGGAAAGATAAATATGAAGATGCCTACTTCTGAGAGCCATCTGCTGGCTGAGAGCAAGCCTAGGAAATAACCCATATGCCTCGCTTATCCACATGAATACAATTTCCTTCATTGAGATGTTTGTAATCCCTGTGAACTAAAAGTCCTATCAACTCTTGTTTGATGGAGGGCATCAGTAATGCATTCCAAAGGTGGTGTTTGGTTGCCTAACAAGGAAGTTGTCCTACTTGTATTCTGTGGCAGAAGGTAATTCAGAATTCCCGTAGGTAATATTTCATGTCTTATTCAAGTAATCTTGAATATAAACTTTGAAAACAGGAGAAAATATATTTCTTCAAGCAGTACCCCCACTTACCTTAAAGTAACTCTGTTGTTTCACTAATTCAAAATTCTTCTTGGTAGAATTGTAAATAAACTGAAATGATGGGGAAGGAACTGTATGTAGTTAATGGTCAAGGAAGTCAAGGCCCAATTTAGCCCTGGAAGGAACATTTCCCTGGGAAGAAGTAGATGATTTTCAACAACTTTAAGAATATATATTTTTAAAATTTTTTTGAAAGATTTATTTTATTTATTTGAAAGAGTTAGAGAGAGAGGTAGAGACAGAGAGCAGTCTTCCATCCTCTGGTTCACTCCCCAGATGGCCTCAATGGCCAGAGCTGAGCTGATCCATAGTCAGGAGCCAGGAGCTTCTTCTGGGTCTCCCACCCGGTGCAGGGGCCCAAGGACTTGGGCCATCTTCTACTGCTTTCCCAGGCCATAGCAGAGAGCTGGAGCAGAAGAGAAGCAGCCGGGACTAGAACCGGTGCTCACATGGGAGGCCAGCGCTTCAGGCCAGGGCTTTAACCTGCTGCACCACAGCACCGCCCCCTAAAAGATTTTTAAAGATGTGTTTATTTGAAAGGCAGAATTCGAGACAGAGGAAGATCTTCCATCCAAATGACCACAGCGGTCAAGACTGGATCAGGCTAAAGCCAAGAGCCTAGAACTCCATCCGGGTCTCTCAAGGGTGGCAGGGGCCCAAAAAGTGGAGCCGTCTTCCACTGTTTTCCCAAGCACATTAGCAGGAAGCTGGGTCAGAAGTGGAGCAGCAAGACTCAAAACCATGCTTATGTGGGATGCCTGTGTCCCAGACAGCAGCTTAACCCACTACGCCAGAATTCCAGCTCCAGAAACTATTTTCTTAGGTAAATTAATAGTAAGTATAGAGTGAAGCTGAGGCAGTGGGGGAAGATGGCGGCGGCCGTTCCGCAGCGGGCGTGGACCGTGGAGCAGCTGCGCAGCGAGCAGCTGCCCAAGAAGGACATTATCAAGTTTCTGCAGGATCACGGTTCAGATTCGTTTCTTGCAGAACATAAATTATTAGGAAACATTAAAAATGTAGCCAAGACAGCTAACAAGGACCATTTGGTTACAGCCTACAACCATCTTTTTGAAACTAAGCATTTCAAGGGTTCTGAAAATGTAACTAAAGTGTCTGAGCAAGTGAAAAATGTGAAGCTTAATAAAGATAAACCCAAAGAAACCAAATCTGAAGAGACTCCGGATGAGGGTCCACCAAAATACACAAAATCTGTCCTAAAAAAGGGAGATAAAACCAACTTTCCAAAAAAGGGAGATGTTGTTCATTGCTGGTACACAGGAACACTACAGGATGGGACTGTTTTTGATACTAATATTCAAACAAGTTCAAAGAAGAAGAAAAATGCCAAGCCTTTAAGTTTTAAGGTTGGAGTAGGCAAAGTTATCAGAGGATGGGATGAAGCACTCTTGACTATGAGTAAAGGAGAAAAGGCTCTACTGGAGATTGAACCAGAATGGGCTTATGGTAAGAAAGGACAGCCTGATGCCAAGTATCCTTTTTTCCCTCTTTCATAATTAAAGAAAAACAAAAATTCCACCAAATGCAAAACTCATTTTTGAAGTGGAATTAGTGGATATTGATTAAAATAGCTGTGCTTCAGATCTAAAGACATCAGCAACAATGATAAAACATGGCCTTGACAAAACTTATGTAACTTGTTTGTTACTATTATAAGGGAAAACTCAACTGGAAAATTAAGAGTTAAAACTTGCTTACTTGATCTCAGTTTTTGAGAAATGCAACCCCCTTATAAATCCATGAAGTCTAAAGTATTTTACTACAACTATAAAATATAGTTAAGGAGAACTATTTCTCCTTTTACTTAATGTTGTGAACTTAAAGGCTCAATAAAAATTAATCCGCTGTCAAAAAAAAAATAGTAAGTATATATACTGTTGCCTCTCTGAAAGTATTTATAAAGCAATTTATCTAAAAATTCTTTTTTAAAGATTTATTTATTTATTTATTTGAGAGTTAACAGCAAGAGAGAGAGAAAGAGAGAGGAGAGAGATCCTCCATCTGCTGGTTCACTCCCTAAATGGCCTCAATGACCAGGGCTGGGCCAGGCTGATGCCAGGCGCTTCCTCTGGGTCTCTCATGGGGATATAGAAACCCAAGCACGTGGGCCATCATCTGCTGCTTCCCCAAGTGGATTAGCAGGGAGCTGAATCAGAAGTGGAACAGCCAGGACTCGAAACTGCACCTATAGAAGACACTGGTGCCACAGACAGTAGCTTAACCTGCTATACGACAGCGCTGGCCCCCTTAGCAGGCTCCACGTAAGAACACTTTAAGTGTCATTGTTTTAGATAATTGTGTTAGAAGAGACATTCACATTATACAGATTAGTTTGTGGCTTTTGTTTTTTAATGTTTTGTCGTGTGCTGGTAGGTAACACTAGCACGTGCATCTGACTCAGTGGAATGTGACAGTTAAGGGTCACTGCTGCAGTCAGCCGCTTGGGTGCACTTCCTGGCGCAGCACCTGCTTGCCTAGGCTTTAGCCATCCATAACCGCCCTGTGCCTCAGTTTCTTCCCCTGTAAGACAGAGACACTCACAGTGTCATCCTCAGAAGGTTGCTTTGTTGCTCGAGCATCCAGAGACGTGCATGCCGAAGCGTAAGCATTCTGTAAATGTCAACTGCCATGGCCACCTCAGCCATGCTCCTTGAGTTCTGTTGAGGGTGAGCTTGAATTTGCTGAACACCTTCAGTTCCACTGTTCCCTGCCCTTGTTTTTAAATGTCAGATGTATGTGCCCTCTTGCCAGCCTTGAAGGAAAGTCCTGGGCTGCCGCCCCTCCCACCCCCCTGTTTTTAAACTCCTGTAGGAACTCCAATTTCAGTGAAGGGCATCTCATCACGCTGAGGTCGCCCGTGACAAATGGTCTTTTATTACCTGCTGATTACAGTTAACCCTAATTTCTTTCATGGCAGCCATGCGGTACCTTCTATTTAAATAGAGCTGTTCCTGGATGTGACTTTTCGAGCCTCTCTGGGTTTAATTCTAATTTAACTTGCCATTCCGAGTGGGACTGTTGTGCAGCCGAAGTCATGATTCACTCGTTTGTTCTCGCTACATCTAATTATTGCAGTGTGGTGCCTGCAAGGCCCCCTCAGGCCTCCGTTCACTGCTCTAAAAGCCCTAACCTTCCAGGGGAGGGAATGTGCCTTTCCTTATTCTTTTCAACCGTATGGATGTATTTAGTCCAGAATTTGGGAACACAGTAACAACTGTTTTACCTCAGCCATTTTCATCACACCAAGCTTGTTACCAAGTATTATTAGAAGAATCCTGTGCCTGGCATAGGTAGTAGTTACTGCACATTTTCCATTCTGGAGAATAACACCAATTTTTAAAGCAAAGCAGTCAGGTTGCATACATTTGAGAATACTGCATGTGCGGGTTTGTTTTTTTTTTTTTGTTTTTTTTGTTTTTTTTTGTTTTTTTTTTTTTTTTTTTGACAGAGTGGACAGTGAGAGAGAGACAGAGAGAAAGGTCTTCCTTTGCCGTTGGTTCACCCTCCAATGGCCACTGCGGTCGGCGTGCTGCGGCTGGCGCACCACACTGATCCAATGGCAGGAGCCAGGTACTTCTCCTGGTCTCCCAAGGGGTGCAGGGCCCAAGCACTTGGGCCATCCTCCACTGCACTCCCTGGCCACAGCAGAGAGCTGGCCTGGAAGAGGGGCAACCGGGACAGAATCCGGCGCCCCAACCGGGACTAGAACCTGCTGTGCCAGCGCTGCAAGACGGAGGATTAGCCTAGTGAGCCACAGCACCGGCCCTTGCATGTGCGTTCTTAACAAAGGGCACATTGCTCAGAAAGCATAGGGGCAGCAGAGCAGGGACACTCGAGCTACAAAAAGAGTGCGCTGTTACCAAATGCTTGTGCGTCCATGGAACTGCACGGTGACCCGAGGCACGTAGTGTTGCTGGTTGTCAGGCTCACTCCTTCACCTTTTCCTGTGTACCTCGATGCTTGCTAGGCTCGGAGGGAAGATTCAGGTTATTTCATGGACCAGCATCCTACACAGATACTAGTGGCCACTCATTGAGGATTTTTATTGTTAGGATGCCCTGCTCTTTTTTTTTTTTTTTTTTTTTTTTTTTTTGACAGGCAAAATGGACAGAGAGAGACAGAGAGAAAGGTCTTCCTTCTTTCTGTTGGTTCACCCCCCAATGGCCGCTTGTGGCCGGCGCACCGCGCTGATCTGAAGCCAGGAGCCAGGTGCTTCTCCTGGTCTCCCATGCGGGTGCAGGGCCCAAGCACTTGGACCATCCTCCACTGCACTTCCGGGCCACAGCAGAGACCTGGACTGGAAAAGGAGCAACCAGGACAGAATCCGGCGCCCTGACCGGGACTAGAACCCGGGGTGCCAGCGCCACAGGCAAAGGATTAGCCTATTGAGCCGTGGCGCCGGCCAGGATGCCCTGCTCTTGAACTTGGAGAGAAGTACTGAGGCCCTTAGATACGTGTGTTTTTCATGGCTACCTCAACTCCCTGCTTTCCAGTGGTATTTAAAATACAAGTCTTAGGGAAATGGATGCATGAATGGGGAATTGAATGTTCATTGTCTAAAGACTCACAATCAATGCTAAGAAGGCTCAGTTAAAACAAAAATTAATCAATTGCTTATTTAATGTTAAAAATTAGGTGACACCTCGCTCAATATATCCATTCTTTCTATGTAGGAAACATCTCTCTAATGTCAAGAGTGTCCTTATTACCAGTACCATGACTGTCACCTTTCTAGTCAGATTTGCCCAGGCCATGCCCCCAGTCCACAGCCATGGTCCACCTAGTGTGCCACCAACTGTGGGATCATGCTGTGGCCCCAGCACACCTACGGCCCTCCACGGAGTTGCATTTCCTGCTTGTTTTCCCGTGTTCTTTCAAGTCTTCTGTGCTTTGCTCTCCTTTTACTTCAGCCCCATCACCCACTGCTGCCCTTCCACAGAGACTAAGTAGTTCTGAAAGGTGCCCTTAAACAATGGTTATTTTATTTATTTTTTGTTTTTTGCTTTCTTTTTTTTTCTCAAAGAAACCTTTTACTTAAAGATTATAAGCTTTATGCATTTCGTAAGTACAATTTTGGGAATATAGTGGTTCTTCCCACCATACCTGCCCTCCCACCCACACTCCCACTCCTTCCCCTCCTCCCTCTCCCATTTCCAGTCCCATTCTCCACTAAGATCCATTTCCGATTAACATTATACACAGAAGACCAACTCTGTACTAAGTAAAGAGTTCAACAATTTATACCAAAAAAATAAAAAACCTGTTCCTCAACAGTCAGGATAAGTGCTGTTCAAAGTCATTGTATCTTGAAGTTAATTTCACTTTTTTTTTTTAAGAAAAAAACTTAATTAACTTCAAAAAGGCACCCAAGAATGATACATTTTTGTGAGCACTTAGACATAATTATAATACAACTTTTTTGAGTACAGAGGTCCTGCATGGGAAGTTAGTGCACAGTGACTCCTGTTTTTAATTTAACAATTAACACTTTTATGTATGACGTCAGTGGTCATCCAAGGCTCTTGACATGAGCTGCATAGGCTATGGAAGCCTTTTAGATCCACAAACTCCTGTATTTAAACAAGGCCATAAGCAAAGTGGAAGTTCTCTCCTCCTTTCAGAGAAAAGTACCTCCTTCTTTGATGACCATTTCTTTCCACTGGGGTCTCACCCACTGAGGTTCTTCAGGTAAGACATTTTTTGCCATATTGTCTGGCTTTCCATGCCTGAAATGCTCTTGTAGGCTTTTCAGTCAGACCAGAATGCTTAAGGGCTGATTCTTAAGTCAGAGTGCTACTTAACGAGATTGTGATTCTATGAGTCTGCCGTGTGGACTGCTTCCCATGTTGGAACATTCACTCCCTTTTAATTCTATTATTATTACCAGACACTCTATCCTATCCATATGATCACTTTAACACTTAAGATGGTATTTTTATCACACAGCCAGAGGGGATTTGGGGTCCCATGGCAAGTTTTTCAACTGTACCCTTAGAACTAAGTCCATAGGAATGTATGCAGGACTATACAGCTTTACAGTTACAAACTTTTTAAAAAAAAAAAAAACTTATTTATTTTTATTTGAAAGTCAGAGTTACACAGAGAGAGAGGAGAGGCAGAGAGAGAGAAAGAGATCTTCCATCTGATGGTTCACTCCCCAATTGGCCGCAATGGCCGGAGCTGTGGCAATCCAAAGCCAGAAGCCAGGAGCTTCCTCCGGATCTCCCACACAGGTGCAGGGGCCCAAGGACTTGGGCCATCTTCTACTGCTTTCCCAGGCCATAGCAGAGAGCTGGATCAGAAGTGGAGCAGCCGGGACTAGAACCGGTACCCATATGGGATGCAGGTGCTTCAGGCCAGGGTGTTAACCCAGTGCACCCTGTTACAGTTAACAAACTTCATACGCTTCATAAATACAACATTAGGAGCATGGTGATTCTTCCCACTGTACCCACCTTTCCACCTGTATTTATTTATTTAAAAGGCAGAGTTACAGGGAGCCAGGGAGAGGGAGGGAGAAATTTCGATCCACTGGTTCACTCCCCAAATGGCCACAACAGCCACATCTGGGCCAGGCTCATGCCAGGAACCAAGAGCTACATCTGGGTCTCCCACATGGGTAGCAGGGGCC